GCTCTTCCAGCCCAGTGATTCCTCCACACAGTTGCAAAATCAGAGCAGCAACATTCACTTCTGTCTTGGAGTAGGGACAAGCAGGACTGAAACATCTCATTTTGTGGAAAGTTAAACACAGCCCAGCAGCACTGGTCTGCCCTCAAGTCCTGGCTTAGCCAACTGCATCCTGTAGGTCTAGGAAAGTCTTCAAACCCACAACTTGCAACAGGAAAAAAAAAATAATTAAAAGGCATGTATTGTGACAGTTGTCTTAGGGGCAATAACCAACCCCCCTCCCCCATCTCAGAAGGCTGTAGTCAAGACTTCAGAGGGGCTTTTGCAGCACCAAAATAGGCCGCAAACGCTGGCCTGGTCCCTCGTGACAGCAGAGATACAAGCTCTAACCCCCTCAGCACACAGCACCCCCACGGCAAGTTAGAACGCCGTTGCTGTTGTAGCGCAGTCCAATTCAAAGCTTGGCTGTAGTCCAGAGCGCTCACAGCAGGACCGAGAAGAAGAGTCTCTGCTACAGCCGGGGTAGCTTGGACGTGGAACCCCGGGACCCTGCGTTCTCCATGCGCTTAGGTGGCTGCTGGAGTGCATCGAGGAGAGATGCCGAACCTGCGCTGGAGCAAACCGTCACCAAAACGGCACCGTAACCCTCCTCCGGTTGGCAGCCAGCCTAGTCCAAACTTCTTCTGCCTTGAGTTGATCCTAGTAAAAACCAGTTTGTCACAAACAGATACCTCTGCAAATATCGATGGGACTAAGATTTAAGTACAAAATGGCTTAAAGTGAAATCTGCAGCTTTGTTTTTGCCCCAGTCATTGGCTTTATCCCTTCTGTTGTGCAAAGCCTCTGACTGGTGGGTTGTGCCCATTTCAGATTTGCTGGAGGTTTCTGGGGAAGGGGTGTTCTTGATTAAAGATCACTTGGGAATGTGGAGCTCAACACATCTAGGTATTTAAAGACAAGTTCGTGTTTGCTCAAGGCCAACCCACAGCCTTACTCCTCTTCTGTCCACTGGCCACTAGCCACATGGCCATTAACACGGTTCGAGCCGTTACTTGAAGTGCTGAAAACTCCTTTTGTGCTGTTGGAAGTCACATCCTCCTCTTCAGAGCTGCTCTCTACATCACTGCGGTCATCCTTTGATACCTAAACATTTCAAATGAAATTTGGTAGCGGAAAGGGGAGAAGGGAGGTTGAAAAATTCACAGAAAGCAGTAGTTAGAAGGTTGTGTCCATGTGATTAACCAGCTTCAGTCACTTACAGTTACCATCTACATTTGATCCTGAATCACTTCAAACTCACAAGGAGGAATTTGTGGTCACAGGTGGAACGCAAGACACAGGCACTGAGAATGACGATTTGGAACTATGAGTTCCCTTTTCCAAATACTCATGAAAGCTTTTAGACTTTTTTTACTCTCACCAGATCAGAGGACACTACAGATCTTTGGTTGTTCTTGTCTTCCAACAGCTGCATTCTAGATTGGTTAAAGGCTGCTTTTCCAAACAACAAATTTGTTTTGAATCACAAAACTTGCCATAATCATCAGCGGGTATGATGACCAAAAAAAAATGTACATATCAGTTTCAGGGAGAACATCTTGTCCTACAGAGAATGGCTTTGATATTTTAAAAGTTAACAGCTTGCTTTATCACGTTACTGTTTGCACAAAGGGCCTCCCATTTTAACAGCTTGTGGTTCATACATGAGAACTCGTTTATGAGCAAAAGCCTGTTTGGACAGTGAGCTGTAGAACAACGACAACTATCTAATCCAGCAAACACCCGTCCAGGAAGGAGCATCTCAGCCCAGAGATCTAGCTCTGCTTTACAGAGGTACACCTTTAGTTAAAAAAAAACCACAGCTGAATTTGGTTTGTATGTGGGATTTTGAACCTCCCGAGGCAGATCCAGGCGCACATTTTGCTGCCAGCTGCTCCGAGTGCCACAGGAGGGCACTGTACCAGCACCGCCAATCCCACCGCACCAGAAGGTGAAGGAAGAGATCCTCAGCCCGGCCTGAACTGCAAACAAGCACCTTGGTTGGTGGCAGGGTGCCAGAGCCATAAACTCACCAGTGCAGCGCGGAACAGTGACTGTGTGAACGGCTCCTGCTTTGCACACCCCAAGGCGGGCTCTCGCATTTCTGCCTCTGACACTGACAACCCCGATTTACTGCATGTGCAAGCACTTGGCAGCTAGGATTTTATTCTGCTCTGCTTGCAGAGTTACTCAGGGTTAGGGCTTTTGAACAGCACCAGGCAGGAAGTTTTTGAACTCGAGGGGAGATCTGGCAGAAAGCCAGGTAAAGTTAATGATCTCCAGGATTGGTTTTGACAGGCCTGTTGGATTTACTGGCTTCTGTCTGCTGCCAGAACTTCTGATATCTTTCCCCACTCTCCTGCTACTTTGGAAGTTCAAAGGGTCACTGGAAGGAAGCAGAAATCCCTCGAAATTTTTCCCATTATTTGGGGGACAAGTGACTGTTCTACTCCTTCTTGCAAAAAGCACTGCATTTCTCCTGTCCTCTTCCACTCAGCAGAGCATTAACGAGCACTAAGGACAGATATCAGAGTCTCTGTGGGCGGCAGCAGATAAGAACAAACCCCGGACACTGCTTTGATCTTTGGAAAAAACTGCATTTTAGCATACTGTCAGAACCAGCTCTGTATGAACCGGGGAGAGAAACACTTTAAGAGAAGGCACCAGCCATCTGAAGCCCCAAGACCATAGCTTGGTTTTTGTCTCAGCCTTGAAACAGACACAGATGCGTTTCAGTGAACAGACAGAAGCACAGATCACACTTACATGCAAAGGATGAAACTGTCCAGCTCCAATCTGGCACAGAGAAAAGGAGTGAGAAAAGAATGAAGAATACAGAGCTTAGAGTCCTTTCTCTGGCTAGGTCACCTGGACAGGAGAGAACCAAGGAAGAGAAAAGATGTAGCCCTCAGGATACAGAAACAGCTGCACAGACAGAAAACAAGACATTTGCAGTAGCAGCTGCAGAGAACAAATGAGACGATCAGGTGCATACTCTGAAACATGCTGTCCCCTGACAATCACTGCCACAGACAACTACGATATAAATATTTTTCAAGGTTACATTCCATGTGTAGGGGCAGCTAAGAAGTCAAACACAAAATAGAGCCATGAGAAAAACTCAGATCAGAATACCAAATATCTGATTTTAAAAAGCATTTGTGCTATGAAATCAGCTGTTGCTCACTGGTAGCTGCGAAGGAAGTGGCTTCTTTTGATGCGTTGGTGGGGTGTCAAATTAGTTCCTAGACTGGCTTGCCCTGTCTCATGCTACTTCAGTTGAACTACACCTTTTTGCCTGGCAACTGAGGTTGCAGCTGAAAGTCAGCATTGTTCACTCTTAGGGCAGTATCTGTTGCTAACCAGCTGCTGTAGTTTCACCCTCCTTCTCCATGAGACGCCCAACACAAATTAAAATTAGAGTACTCGGGACTGAAGCCAGACTGCACCCCAGTAGCCCAGTGAGAGCCAGCAAACTCCTGTGCGTTTCTGATAACCCTTTCTCTGCATGCTGCAGCTCGAGGCCTGGCCTGCACTGACAGCCGGAAGCCTGCGTTAATGCAAACAACACGTAACCCTCATCACACCCCAAGAAACAGCTAAAGTTGGAAAGCTGGAAAACATCCCATACGATTGATGAAAAAAGAGCCTACTACCCCCTTAAACTCCAAACTAAGTACCTAACAAGTCTGTCACCATCACTGTTACAACATCTGAACGTACTGGAAGGTGTTACTTCCTTGCATGACCAGAACAGAGAGGAGAGCATCCCCGCCTTTGTATACACCTAGCGACTCAAGTCTGCAGAGCAACCAAGGTAAAAACCGCACCGTTCTCCAAAGCACTCCTGATGCGAGTCCCTCGAGAACTAGTACCAGTCCTCACTGAAGGGCCCAGTTTCTCATGATTGCTCATGATAGTACTTGTAGGAAAGAGGACCCGAAACAGTCACCAGCAATCTTACCTTGCCCCGCACGAGGGCCTTGTAGGCAGTGCGAATGATGAGATAAGACCAGATGATATGCAAGAACTGCAAGGTTATCAAAAGCCCATTGAACAGCCACCATGAAGGATAAGGACCAATCAACTCCCAGCTTTCAAATAAGGTTGTATTCAAAATCCTAGAAGAGATCCAGAAACACATTACAGATCGGCTGTGCTGGTAACACGGCTTCCAGCTCTAAATTAAGATGACTGGCCAGATGCACAACAGTTTGTATCTCATTTAAGCATCTGTTGCTTTGCTCCCGTCAGAGCAGCGCTGCAGCTAGTGTCTCGCCAGCGTTAGGAGACAGACTAAAGCTAATTAGAAACATTTGAACTGAGCAACAAACAGGAGAAGATGCAAGTGTTCTGCAATTTGGTTACACACACAGATCTGCTGCCAACTTCCTTCTCAAAAGCATGAGCGTTTATAACAACTTTACAGAAAGTGATGTCAAGCTGCACTGGTCATCAAAACAACTGTTAATGCATTCATACTTGAGCAGTCTTCACCCATATTTAAAGATCAGGAAGGAATTTTGTTCCCAGAAGGCCTCCCTCCCTGTGTGCTATTCTCTTCCCTCAGATTTTTATAGATTCCTCCTGCCAAGCTGGAGGACTAGAAACTGCTTTATGGACAAAGCTTTGTGCTTGCTTTCATTACTGTTTTGCTGTTCTTGTCGCTGGGAGTTATTGCCAGTACTTAAGTAATTTAATAAACACTTTAGATTTTATGAAGTAGAGAGGTATGGAGAGACCTTTAAAGACATCATTAATTTCACATAGCTTTTAACGTTTCACAAGAGAAACAAGCCTTTCAAAGAAGAACCCAAGTCCCCCAAAATGCAGCTACAGAAACATCTAACTCATAGCCAGTTTATGGATGAATTAAATGCAATTCCAGAGATCTGTTGACATTTTACACTACTAATTACGGAAGGGAATATATGTGAAATGAAATTGCATAAGGTCTGCAATACCGCTGCAAGCTTGCCAGATTTCTCTACAAAGTTGGGGAATTACATTACAGCTAGTGGAAAATACATTAAAGATTTACAGGACTGATGAGCAACAGCATGATGCAAGAGCATCACCTCATGACAGACAACAGCAATAAAAACAATGACAACTATCTCATCTGCCACTGTGAGGAGCCTACGAAGACATAAGAATTAAAGCTCTTCCTCATCCAAACTCCTCTGACGCATTTACTGGAAAACAAGCAAGAGCTTTAATTGCGACCTTGATACCAAAGCGTAACTATTGTTGCTGCCTACTGTCAAGGCACCCAAAAAGAATGGGAGTGCAAGCTGTCCGTTGCCTAGGAAATAAATATATGCAGTAAAACTGAAATAAACTGAGTAATAATTGGGTGCAACCAAGTTTTCACCGCACTCAACAGAAACAAGAAGTGGATAACAGCTCATCAACAGAACTACCTCACCAAGCCTGACCTATCAAGGTGAGAGGGAATCTCATTATAGGACGATTAGCTATAAGCCATTTAGCCAGGGTTTTACCTCCCAAGAAACCTATTTCAGGCTCTGAACAGTCACGACACAAAGACAGGACACGAGTGTCATAAGAATCAGAAACTGCAACAATGACTAAGCCAGCTACTTAAAAAATCAAATTTACCTCAAGAGCCCATGCCTCATTTGTAACTACTTCCAAAACTTCTTCAGAGAAGCCAACAACCCTTCAAGTCTTTCAGAGCAGATACCGGCTGACTTGGCTCCAGCTAATAAGCACTGTCATCACTTTGCAGGAGGAGGAGAGGGGCCAGCTGTGCATTAGGATGCTAGTCGCTTTGCACACTCCCTCAGCTGACTGTTGAGAGGTTTCTTCATATGCCTAGTTGAACACACTGCTCCGAACAGCACTTGGGTTGTCTGCAACTTCAGGCTGCCTCAAGGGACAGGCTGGAATGCTTGCAAGAAGTCTAAATGCAAAGGCTTTGCTTAAAGGATTGGAAGAACAAATGAGACTTTACAGCTCAAGGTGCTTACCAGAAAGGATAAATGCCCAACCGTGTAACAATGAATACGACACCAAAGAGCATGAAGAAAGCATCGCACAGACGTTGGTACTTGGCATAATTGGCTAGCTTTGCAGCCTAAAAGAGACAAGAAACATGAGAATATTATTCCCTTTGTGCACTCATGTAATTACCAGGCTGTAGAGCTTCAAAGACCCTCAAGCCATCACATCTGTCAGGAGTTTGGAACATTTAGGGATTATTCTCAGCACTAAAGCAGTTATGAGGAAAAGCTGACAAGGCAGGATCAGCAGCACAAGTTTTATGGCATATTTAATGCAGTTTATCAAGAATGGGAACATCAGCTTGCTCCCTTGAGACCACACTAGCATTAGGTACGCAAAGATTTGAAAGGAAACTCACCTCTAAAAGGAAATCTGATGCATCATGGAGGCACAGCACCAGAGTTCCAACCCGCACCATATTATTCATGTAAGAGAATGTAATGAGTCCAATTGTAGCCAAATGATGGACGAACATGATCAGGAAATCCTGGAAACAGAAAAAAAAATAAAAATGGAGACTCTTTGGCTGTCAAAGAAATACAAAGGTTGGGAACAGAGCCACAAAACTGACTAACTGGGGTCACAGGATTACTTCAGTTCAGACTCTGCCTCCACTTTATCTAAAACATAGCTCATCGCACAACATCACCCATCGTCACTAAAGGTTCCAGAAAGGTCTCTCCCAACATTCGTGCTCCTGTGAAGTCAGAACTCTGCATACACAGGCACAGTGCAGTCTCTTTGGCACACACATGCAAGGTAAAGATAAGTGTGCCTGCAGACCCCACTGAAAAGATTGACAGGACAACATATGGCCCTTTTTTTGGCTCCTCTCGGTTTTACAGTCATACTGCTAGTCCTTTCAGCTCTTGGCTCCAATTTTAAGTACGCTGCTGTTACTGTTGTCAGTGTGCAAAAGCCTGCCAGAGCATAGCAGACAGAGAACACAAGATAAGCCAACAGCAAGAACCAAGCCACTTCATTAAAAAAAAGTTTACGATGCACATACATTCAGGGCTGTTATCCAGTGTAGCCCCCTGGGTACACCACTTCCACTCCATGTCAATGTACCTTTCCAGGCTTGCAGTGTGGAACATAATCCACTTTGTTAAAGTCAGAGTACAAAATTAAACATTATAAACAATTTCACAGATGCTGTTAATCATTCCCTTTCTGCAGCTCCAAAATACTCTGTAATGCCTCACCTGCTAATATTTCAGTACAGACAAAAAAAATCCCAGGCAAACTTTTCTTTTTGAACAGTCAGTGCAAGAATTGGAATAATTTGCTGCTTTGCAGATTGTATTACAGAAGCAATAAACCATGATTTACTATGGACTGTTTTCCAGCAGCAACAATAAGCCAAATCCTAGAATGCAGCGCAACGGAATTAGATTCCGGCAATCATGACCAGTCATCATGCCGCTACACACACAGATGAAAAATTACTTTCAAAGAAACATTTATTATTGCTTTAGTGTTTGTCATTTTCTCACCCGGCTCAGCAAAGTACTGTTTCGAGTATCTCATTTTCATGTCTTCTTGCAAGCCTTCTAATTAAATCTATTTTTACACAATGATTTGATAAGTTTTTATTGGGAGGTATTGAGTGATTCTGTTCTTTCCCCTGGCAGGTGTAAGGGACTCTCAAGGATATACCAGGCTGCATATCAGGCTTGCTCCTTCCTTTTCCCCAGGACTGGGCAGTGATTACAGAGGAAGGCTACACAAAGATGTGAATGAGGAAGAAAATACAGTTATGACTACACTTTAGCTTTACTGGCCTGACAGACTCACATTTTTTTGTTAGTCCTATCTATTTAGCAAAGCGGTTAGTGCAATTTGGTTAATCTCACCTTCCGTTTAATGTCTGTAAACTGAGAAAACATGAGAGACCAATAGAAGGCCAACTCCAAGATATAGTAATAATAAAGCCTGGATGTTAGAGGCTGGAAAACAAAGATAGCACAGTTAGAAGACAAAGTACTTCAAAATTTACATTAAAAATGACTTCTTCCTTCCCTCCCATCCCACTATGTTCCCCTAGAATGCTGAGGCATAAGGTAAAAGACCCAGAATTCAGGTTTAGTAAAAACAAGCTTAAGCAACAGACATCTTACTACAGGCTTAGTCACACACACACACTTGTGTGTTTGAGCTGTATTCAAAAGGAGTAAGATTCCCTTGTCAATATTTACAACTCATCAACTCTTGGGTTAGGAAAACCAGGCACTGAAACAGACTGCTTGGCCTCTGTACAATCATACTTGCTGCATAATGAAAACAACGCTGTAAATAAGTGACTGCTATAATTTTATGCATAATTTTAATAATCTCAGCAGCAGGGAAACATAAAATGAATACAAACTGAGTCAGTTCTATCTGAGGAAACACTGCTGCTGACAAACCTAACTGGGATCCGAAGACAGAAGAGTAAATGCCTTCCAGAAGGGACAGCCATTCACTCACTAGAAAGCTTACCAGGTTGCAGCCTGTGCAGCATCCACCCCGCAGAATAATGAGAAGCACTCGAGTCTACTGAGTTTCAATCTGCTATCATTAATAAAAAATAAAAACTGAAATTGTGCAAAAAAGTTTGAACCTAGGAAGTGTTTCTCTCTTACCTGAAAAGGGTAGTTGTACCAGCACTGTCGTGTGTCCCAAAACCAGGGTGTCTAAAGGGAAAAAGATAAATTATTATTCTACTAGGTTTTTTCTTCTCTAAGACAGTTGATCACTACGGTACTGTTTCACTGAAATTTTATCTTGACTCTACCATTCAAGCTAAATTTATTATAAAACATCCCAGTGATTTAAAATATTCTTTCTGCAAAGGCAAGTTATACTGCAATGGAAATTCAAAGAATAATCATACAGCTCTAATAATAATAAAGACCCAAAGAGATGAATCTGTATTCCTTCAAGTGGAAGATGAGGAAAAAAAATAAGCAGCTGTCCATAGCAAAAAACCTCAGTTCTGTCCCATTTTGGGGTAACACGACAAATAAGTTTCTATACAGATCTGTCAGTATGGAAATATTAGAAGCTTTCCTCTAACGTAAAGAAAGTCCTTAAACAGAGACCCCAAGATCTCAAATAAGAGAACATAAAGATGACTAGCCCCCTTGTTTTATGCTAGGTGCAAGCACAGGTAACAGTGACACAGGTAGTCAAACCCCCCAAATTTCAGCAGG